AAATAAATGTAAAAGAGAAAAGGACATATGGATACGAGTTAAGAGTAACTCTCCATCACTGTAACATGATACTATATACAGTCAGAAAGTGCAATAACTAGGCACAAAACTGACAGAGTACTGAGACATTCGACGTCCTGACACCTAACTTCAACACATCTCCGTAGCGCTAACCGACAGCCTTCCAACTTGGAAGGTTCAAGGTTATGGAAAGACCAAAGAGGGGAAGGCAAGCGCAACGAAAACGAGCAAAAGCTACAGTCCCAACGGAGCAAAGAATGTCGATTGTTACTGGACGATGACGAGACCAGTACGATATTTGACAAAGCGGTCTACCTACAATTCGAAGCAGCAAAGCAGCACACCACCCAACTTGGTTGGGTCATAAATATCAAAGATAAGTAAAGAAAGGGAAGCTTTGCGAAAACGAATTGTACAAGCCGAAAGCCAAACTCCTACAGTACTCCTCATGCATGACATTGTGATGGACTAGTTGACTACAAAACAAGTTGTTTCACACGACGTACGTTTCGCCGTATGGTTCGTGACGGCTCATCAGGTGTGCAATTTGAAACTCGGATGTTGAGCCATAAATAAATGTAAAAGAGGAAAGGACATATGGATACAAGTTAAGAGTAACTCTCCATCACTGTAACATGATACTATATACAGTCAGAAAGTGCAATAACTAGGCACAAAACTGGCAGAGTACTGAGACATTCGACGTCCTGACACCTAACTTCAACAAATCTCCGTAGCGCTAACCGACAGCCTTCCAACTTGGAAGGTTCAAGGTTATGGAAAGACCAAAGAGGGGAAGGCAAGCGCAACGAAAACGAGCAAAAGCTACAGTCCCAACGGAACAAAGAATGTCGATTGTTACTGGACGATGACGAGACCAGTACGATATTTGACAAAGCGGTCTAACTACAATTCGAAGCAGCAAAGCAGCACACCACCCAACTTGGGTGGGTCATAAATATCAAAGATAAGTAAAGAAAGGGAAGCTTTGCGAAAACGAATTGTACAAGCCGAAAGCCAAACTCCTACAGTACTCCTCATGCATGACATTGTGATGGACTAGTTGACTACAAAACAAGTTGTTTCACACGACGTACGTTTCGCCGTATAGTTCGTGACGGCTCATCAGGTGTTCAATTTGAAACTCGGATGTTGAGCCATAAATAAATGTAAAAGAGAAAAGGACATATGGATACGAGTTAAGAGTAACTCTCCATCACTGTAACATGATACTATATGTCATGCATGAGGAGTACTGGAGGAGTTTGGCTTTCGGCTTGTACAATTCGTTTTCGCAAGGCTTCCCTTTCTTTACTTATCTTTTATATTTATGACCCACCCAAGTTGGGTGGTGTGCTGCTTTGCTGCTTCGAATTGTAGTTAGACCGCTTTGTCAAATATCGTACTGGTCTCGTCATCGTCCAGTAACAATCAACATTCTTTGTTCCGTTGGGACTGTAGCTTTTGCTCGTTTTCGTTGCGCTTGCCTTCCCCTATTTGGTCTTTCCATAACCTTGAACCTTCCAAGATGGAAGGCTGTCGGTTAGCGCTACGGAGATGTGTTGAAGTTAGGTGTCAGGACGTCGAATGTCTCAGTACTCTGTCAGTTTTGTGCCTAGTTATTGCACTTTTTGACTGTATATAGTATCATGTTACAGTGATGGAGAGTTACTCTTAACTCGTATCCATATGTCCTTTTCTCTTTTACATTTATTTATGGCTCAACATCCGAGTTTCAAATTGCACACCTGATGAGCCGTCACGAACCATACGGCGAAACGTACGTCGTGTGAAACAACTTGTTTTGTAGTCAACTAGTCCATCACAATGTCATGCATGAGGAGTACTGTAGGAGTTTGGCTTTCGGCTTGTACAATTCGTTTTCGCAAAGCTTCCCTTTCTTTACTTATCTTTGATATTTATGACCCACCCAAGTTGGGTGGTGTGCTGCTTTGCTGCTTCGAATTGTAGTTAGACCGCTTTGTCAAATATCGTACTGGTCTCGTCATCGTCCAGTAACAATCGACATTCTTTGTTCCGTTGGGACTGTAGCTTTTGCTCGTTTTCGTTGCGTTTGCCTTCCCCTCTTAGGTCTTTCCATAACCTTGAACCTTCCAAGTGGGAAGGCTGTCGGTTAGCGCTACGGAGATGTGTTGAAGCTAGGTGTCAGGACGTCGAATGTCTCAGTACTCTGTCAGTTTTGTGCCTAGTTATTGCACTTTCTGACTGTATATAGTATCATGTTACAGTGATGGAGAGTTACTCTTAACTCGTATCCATATGTCCTTTTCTCTTTTACATTTATTTATGGCTCAACATCCGAGTTTCAAATTATTATTATTATTATTATTATTCAACGCAATAAATAGAGTAAGCTGCGCACTCAGTACAAACACCATTAGCAAAACTTGTTTTCATGTATAATAAATAAGCTTGTTCCTAAACGTTTTCGTCGCCATCTCATCAGAGGATTACTGGCAAATCAACAAAAGCTCTTAACTCAATATATATACGCACAATGCAAGTAATAATTTAGACCCTAACTAGCTCGATAAAATGAGAGCTGAAAGAAACATTACACCATTCAACGATATCAGGTGACAACAAATGCGATAAATTCACCACTAGAAAGTTACCAAGCAACCACAAACGAGAACTACTGATCTAAATTCACAAACAATTTCAACGTAAACAAATTCTTTTTTCTGCCTACACAAAATCGGCCTGGTGGTAAAAATGTAAATAGACTCCAGTACACGCAAATACCTTTGACTACGTGAACGAGACCAAACAGAAAAGCAATCATCAGCATAACTCCCACTATGGTGTCCAGGGCAACGCCCTGGAGTGGTTCCGACGGTACCTGTTGGGGCGTCGGCAAAGGGTCCAGGTGGATGGCGACCTATCGCCTTTCCTCGAGATCCCTGCCGGCGTCCCTCAGGGATCTGTTCTTGGGCCGCTTCTATTCCTCGTCTACACCATTGACCTTCCACACGCATGTGAGAATCCCAGCACCACCTGTAGCCAGTTTGCAGATGACACCGCTCTGATTTCCATAGCGAGAACTCTTCAAGACTGCACCCGAAACCTACAACAGAGTGTCACAGCAGCTGGAGACTGGCTTCAAAAATGGCACCTGCTGGTTAACACAAAGAAAACAGTCATCCTCCCGTTCTACCACAATAACCGCCCCCCTGAACAGCTACCCCAGATCACCCTCAGGAATAGTCCGCTTACCGTAGCACAAAAACACAAACACCTCGGAATAATCTTTCAGCATGACCTCCGTTGGACGGAGCATGTTGAATACATAGTCAAAAAATCACTCAAGTCTTTCAATATTCTTTTTAGACTAAGGTCTACACTCACCAGTGATTCTTTATCTCACATCTATCAGACATACATACTACCTATATTCTCATATGCGAGCAATGCTCTCACACCGTTGTCCCACACTTCCCTTGACAGGCTAGAACGACTCCAGCGGAAAGCCGCCAGAATATGTCTCCACCTTCCCCTTTACACACACTTAGAACACTCCCACCTTTTGCATCGCATCAAATGGCCAACATTATTTTCACGCTTTAAAGTTAAACATATACTCTTCGCGCATTCTCTGCGCCACAATTATGCCCCACCACATATACTCTCGCTGCATACTGCTAGCAACGTGCAACCTTCGTATAATTTACGTCGCTCTCGTACTTGGCACTTGCCAACTCCGCGGACTGACCGCTGTCTCCATTCTCCCCTGTACAAGGCCCTTCATTACTTTAATTGCCTGCCCACCCAGCTTCGCGAAATCCCTTCTCGTACTCCCTTCAAATCCGAGATATCCCTGCTGTTGCACAACTCTGTATGCTCGTGTAGCGACCACCCCTGCCCTTACACTTAAGTACGCAACTCTGTATGCTCGTGTGGCGACCACCCCTTCCCGTACACTTAAGTAGTCATTAACCCCTAGGCCCTGCCCACCCAATTCTTCCTCACTCTTTCTCCTTTCTTACACTATTATCTCTTATTGGCCACTGGCTATCGTGAGAATAAAGATTTGAAACTAGAACGACAATCACTATTCTGAACAAGATGGTTGGCGATAGAAGATTCATACACCCTAACAACGCTACTAAAACCAGTACATACTTTGGAATTACGTGACAATGAAACCGACCTGACATTCCTTGCCGCTACTGCCAATCCAGACGAGGCCGATGTAGATGTCCGTACCAAAGGCACGTCCGTTGCTGGCACTGCCTGCTGCGATGATGCTCCCTTTGACGTTCCAATGGCTGTTGATGTTGATGAAGAGGAGGAGGGAGATGAGGAAGACGCTGACGACGACGATGACGACAACGACGGAGACGATAAAGACTCTGCTAACCTCGCCCTAGAGCGAGTCACTGGTCCCGCAATGGTGTTTGTACTGAGTGCGCAGCTTACTCTATTTATTGCGTTGATTACATTTTTATCTCCACGGAAGCTTTTTAATTATTATTATTTGTCACCTTCTTGTTTGTTATTTTTATTATTATCATTCGTTCTCACTTTTTTTGTTGCTGATACACACTTGTCACGCGTAGTTCTTACTTGTATACTCTTGTTCTCTGCACGCTATTATTATTATTCACACTATCCGCCGGATGAGTGTGCGTGGCCCATGCACCATGGGGACCCACGAATACAAACCAGCATATGTTCCCTCAGCAATATCTGCAATAACGATATCAATATCAGTATCTTCCTTTTTAGTATTTGCACACTCTTGGCTGCTGCTGTGGCACTTTTGTATTTGTATTTTCAGCTGCAATAAAGCAGTTGTTATTGCTATAATGACCTACAGACAGGGCACCACCTCCACAAGACGACCACGGAAGGACGAAATGGCGGGGCGCTCTCGTGGTACTTTACGGTATTCGGGGCATTCTGTTCCCGTGACCCAAGTATCCTTACATTCTGTGTACCACTTCCTGGTGTTGCAGATCATTGTTTAACAATCTCCTGACAACCCTACCAGATGAAATGTTTACCAAGCAGGTCTGGCAGATAGAGGATCTGTAAGTGAACTGTGTTGTGTAGTGCTGAATATAGCCACTATGTTTTAGACAGCTGCCCGTCCACTATATTTTGTAAGGACGTATATTTACGTCCTGAGTGTTCATCGCATACTGACGAAATTTTTACGGAGGCACGCATGCTCCAACAATCGTAATTCAGCCAATTCTTACTCGAATTTCGCGATCGAAGTATGTATGTCGAAGAGAAAACTCTCGAACTTATTTAGCAAGCTTCGGGCATTATTAAATGATAAAACGAGAAAAGCATTATAATTAGGGTATAAGAAGAAGAAAAGAAGGGTGAGAAGGAGATAACAGGAAGAACATGAATGTTTACAAAACTATTTATGTACACGAATATATTGTGTGGAGAACAACGTTACTGTAGGCTAGGATTGAGTATCCCGAGGCTGTGATGCCAGTGGGCTGAAGCGTGAGCCATGTGCTGGGATATGGGGTTGGCTGTGGGCAGGGTCCATGTTGTTGCTCTTTTTTTGTTTGTATTTTAATTTTTGAAATCAGGTGAGGATTCCGCACTGGGACTGGCTGTCCTGGGTCGTTCTGAGGTAAACCAAGGGTTTGTTGGCTTATTAGACAAGGCTGTGTTAGTCACCAGTGAGGAGAGAAGGTCTTCAGCACGCGCCGAATCTGGGTGATTGCATGGTAGGAGTAGTTGTGTCCATGTGCGGTGAGTTGGATGTTGTCGTACCTGTACCTGTGCTGCCTGGCAGGGTTTCGGGGTGCACTGTCGTGTTGGTTGACGACATCGACGATGTAGGGTCGAGATCGCTGACTGGGTCGCTTGGATGCGAGCTGGGGTGCAGGTCTGCTTGCGGCGTGGTGTCCGTACCATCAGAAGCCATTTTGGATACGGCGCTTGCGTGGTTCAAACTTTGGGCCGCTTTCAGGGCGGAGTCGGTACAGTGCGAGCTAGCTCCCCCGTTCCGCTCTGTACTGCTGCTTTCTGTGGGACGCGTGGACATGGTGGAAGTGTGTGCACTGGTATTGTTTGCAGAGCAAGTAACAGGGAATGAGTGACGTGCCGAGCCGACGGCAGATACGTCTCGGCAGGTTGCTGAATTAGCATGATTCAATGAGGCGGTTGACAGGCTGAGGAGCTCTAGCAGAGCGACGGACTGGATCAGCTGCTGTGCCACCGTACTCAACCTCGACTGTCGGCTTCTCTGCTTCTGGAAGTGGCAGTCAGATCAAGTGACGACGATTGTGGCGAACAGTAGAGTGACCAGACTCAACGAGGTAAGAACGATTGGACACTTGCTCTACTATCTTGCCCTCCCGTTCGAGAACGGTGATGAATACACGGTCATGAAGCTGTAGAGTCGCGAGAGGATTAGCTGCATGTCGTTGGTCATAGTGGAACTTCTGCTTCTCCTGGGACTGGGTCTCCGAGTCCAGAATTCTAGGGAAATCTGGCCAGAGGATGGCATGACAATGCATGGTACAGCACACCTTGCTCACAGGACAGTAACTGGCGTTCATGGCAGTGGGGGCACAAAGTGTCGTCGACATCTCGTAGGTTGCACGGCCATCCGTGTTGGACGAAGTGGAGGACTTGCTTGAGCGTCTTATCTTGTGTGGTGGCGTCAGCAATGTCATGGGCTTTATCATCCGACACGATCTCACCGATGTAAGATGTGAGGTTTATGCTGATCTCCTCTTGGAGACTAGGCGTGTTGTCACAGATAGAGCATTGGCAACAAGTAGCTCTTTGCCAGCGACATACATGGTGGCTGGATTGTACGTAAGCAGGCCCATCAGGAGGCGTTGACATCGCATCGGGACACGGTTCAAATCACGCATATTGATCAGCGGGTTGAGTGGTTTGTGATCCGTCAGGACAGAGAGGGACGGGTTGCCATGAATGTAGCCGTGGAATCGCTCACAAGCCCCGACAACAGCCAAGTACTCCTTCTCGACATGCGTGTACTGTTGCTCAGTAGTGGCGAGGCTGCGTGAGGCAAATGCAATGAGGCGCATTCCGTCCTCATGCTCCTGCAATAGGACAGCCCCCAAGCCGTAACTGGTGGCATCAGCGCTGATGACCGTGGGCTTGGTTGGGTCGAAGAACGTGAGGCAGGGCGCATTGGTGGCAAGCTTTTTGAGCTTGTCCAGGGCCTGTTGTTGTGTAGCAGACCACTCCCATGCAGTGTCATGATCCAGTAGAAGACGCAGTGGAGCACTAACTTCCGAGAGATTGGGAATGAAGCGTGACATGAACGCGAACATGCCGAGAATGCACTGACGTTCTTGGGCGGCTTCAGATTAGCGACGCTGGACACTCTCGCTGGGTCAGGGTGGAGACCTTTGGCGGAGAAGATGTGACCAAGGAACTTCACTTCGGCCTGACGCTTGTGACATTTCTTCATGTTTAGGGTGACATTGGCTTTCTGCAGGATGTCTAGTACGGCAGCTAGGTTACGGTCGTGTTCTTCTCGTGTACGGCCAGAGACAATGATATCGTCCATGTAGACGAACACGCCGGGGAGCTGGTCCAGAAGTGTGGTTGTGGTGTCAGACAGAGTTTATTCACAACTAGCAAGTAGGACAACAAACAAAGAACAACATTCAAAAGCAGTGTACGAACACAAAAGGAAAGTGCGTACGAACGCATATGGAAACGGAAGCTCTACAGTCCATGTCAAAACTATAGACGCGTGAACTCATACGTACGAGTCGTATGTACTGTAACGCACGAAAGCCTAGAGTTTTGCATGAGTGTTTTCTGGTTTTCAGATGTGTTTTTCAGGTTTTTCTTCATCGCCGCGGGAAATACAAAAGATTCAAAACACGCCAAGTCGCAAATGAAAACGTGTGAGAAAAGTCTCAAAAGAAATGAATGTCTCAAATAAATCTTCTTCTTGCTTGCATTTTCTGAGTGCCTGACTGTAATGGCTTCCAAGGCCCGTAAGAATCTCAGTGATGCCGAGAAAGATATGATTAGTCGTGTTCATTGTTTCTTCGAACAAGAGCTGGATTTTGATTGACGCTTGAGTATCCGAAATCCCCGTCGTCGAACTCACCTTGCAACTGGCGTGAGTGAAACCACTGTCACTCGTTGTGTCAGACGAAGGGAACAGGGAGGCTCAAATCAAATCAAAAAGAGGAAATATAATTATCATCTCTACTGTATTTCACCAAACAAGATCCAAAACATGCAGAAAAGAAGAGAAAAAAAGGCAGGAGGCGTGATGGGATTCGAATGCCTCACACTTGTACTGGAAATCACGGATCGAAACCACGAGGCTACCAGGACCCGTACAAAAATGCACCCGCGATGGCCTGGGCGCAGCACTGTCTCAGCAGGAGCAAAAATCCGAAACAAACTGGTCAAACCCTTCAAAACAGAAATTACATGTAAAACCGGAAAACCTGGCCTAAAAATAAACTTCAATTGTAGCGAAAACAAAGTATATAGCCAGAATTGTGAAGCGATGCAGAAACGGAATCTGGAGAAAAAACTAAAAATATTTAAATAAATCCCATCGAATTTTGCAAAACACTACGCGTCTATAGTTTTGAAATGGACTGTAAGCGCGTGCATACGGGATGCAGGAGTTGCACCATATACGGAAGTATGCCATATACATCATGCCCCTCCTAAAATTAAAACGTACAAGTGTTTATCTAATCAACAAAAAATGATGTGGAAATTGCATGTGCTTAGCAAATGACATGTCGCGGAGCATCAGCAACTTCCAACAGACTTGTAAAAGGGATAATTGCATAACTATATACTTCAAGGTTTTCCACTGCGAGACATTGAGAATGACAATTGAATAGGTACAATGCAAATCACCAACTGAACAAAGCGAGTGTTAATTGTACGATTGCCCACGCGTTGAAATAATGTGAAAGGGGACATTCTGTCGCCGGGGACATTGGCTTGTGCAAGGTGGTACCTGAACAGTTGACTGTGGCGACGACTGAGTCACAGGGACTGCTTGTGGTGCAGTGTCGGGTACGTTAGAGGATATAGGCACAGGGCATATGATAAGAAATTCGAAGTGCTCGGACGGCATGTCCTCTCATTTCCATTTTTGGCCGGACATGTCCGGACGTATCAAAACCCTTAAAAATATCGCCAACGATTTCAACACCGCTGTACGACGTGTTGTGCAGAACATTCCAACAATAAAACACACCAGTGACCATAATGTGCATATGTATAATATGATGATGTTTAAAATTATTATTATTGATAGACATGTGAACTATGTACAGTATAGCACAATGACATTCTCTAGCAGTACTATGCAGGATGACACGCAGTTCACCACTCATGGCTGAGGAACGCATCCCAATCACTGAGGTCGAAGGATGACGACTGAGCTGGCGCTGGCTCTTGCTGGCGCATCATGGCAGCGATTGACGTTGGGCGAGGAGCAGCTCGCGTGTCCTGTGTGGCCCGCCGGCATCTATCTGCCAACCACAACTCCACAGCACGCATGGCGTTCCACTGTGCTGGAGGTGGTCCCTCCACGGCAATGCGGACGAGGCTGTTGAGACGTCCTTCGCCCAGGCTGCAGCGCCGATTGATCTTCACATGCTTGAGGGTGGAGAAGACCCGCTCAATCCGGCTGTTGGACATGGGCAAGCAGAAGAGCACCTCAACAAGCTTCAGGACGTGTTTCCAGCGGACGAACTCGGCAACGTTGAACAGCTTCCACCAGACAACCAAATGGCTGTCTGTCAGCTTCAGGTAGCGTCGTGAGTATGTCAGGAGGTCCTCCCACTCTTCATCCAGCACAGCAGAGCACACTGAGGCAGCCTCCAGGGGGACACGGAACAACTCGGCTAGACGATGGCTCGCAGGCAAGAAGGAAGCGGCGTCGTCGAACTTGTTCCACCCATGTGTGGCGAGTACCATGAGAGCATCATGTAGAAGCTGCACGTGCTGCGCCTTTACTCGGTGCTGCAGGCAACTGAGAACAGACTGCGTGTACTCCACACAGTGCCGTTCAATTAGCTCCACGCCTTGCTCCAGCTGCGCTACCTTCATGCCCTGGTAGAGGGTGGCGCCACTGTCGTGAACGCGGAGACGCTCCCGGACCAGCTTCACGGTAGGCAGGTCCTCAAACGGAGTCGTAGCCATTGCGTCAATAGCGGTTGAAGCCCGCAGCAGCGCCTCGATGGTGGTGACGACGCAGATCTCATCTGCTTGGAGGGCCTTGCACAACAAGCTGGCTGGCTTGAGGAGGTCATGGAAGAATGCGCAGCCAAACAGCATCTTCCCTGTGCACCAATTGCGCAGGTAGCCGGTCAACTTAGCCTTGTCTACAGACTTGGTGGATGGGCTGTCGATGAGCTCCTGGAGGTGACTCACGTAAGCGCCAAACCGATCAACCAATCTGCACAGTGCTGCTACCTTGTGCGCCACGAATCGGGTGCCACAGGCACGCAGTGGCTTGTTCCCTCCTCGGATAGCAGGACCTGGCATGTCGGAGGGCTCCAAGCACTCGCGCAAAGACTCTACAATGTCGTCGAGCTCGCGTGACTTCTTAGACGACTTCTCGTACAAGTAGTACACTCTCATCAGCATAGCGTCGACGACATCAGCATAGCGTCGACGACATCAGCAAACAGAGTGGTGCTGAGGGCATCCTTGAGGGCTAGCTCTAGCCTGTGGGCAACACACCGCACAACTACCACCCAGGGAACAATCGTCGTCAGCTTGCCTTTCAAGCCATTCTTGGCAACATTCACAGCAGCACCATAACAGCCGACGCCGATCAACTTGGTCCGCCAGTCAGCAATGCCAGCGTGGTCCATGGCCCTTTCAAAACAGTCTATCAGACCAGCAGTATCAACAGTAGACGGCTGGAGGACTCCGACGAATTGGATACGAACATGTATTTTGCCATCAGCTGAGTGGGGATCGCAGAATAAGGCCAGATAGACCGGACATGCGGCTGCTTCCGCATGTCCGGTCCTCCTCGACATTGGCAACATCAGTACTGCCGTCGGTCTGGACACTGAAGAAATTGGATCTCCCTAGGTTATTCTTCAGCTGCTCTCGGAAAGAATGACCGATGAAGTCGCAGTACGTTGCGCAACTCATTCTTGCCACCTGTGCCGAAGCTCACGCCATGCCACTCCTCTAGCCGACTGAATGACTCGAACTTTGCAAAAGCGACGTGCTCCTTGCAGAGAAGGTAAGCTACGTCGAACTTTCGATGAGCAATAGCTGCTGCAGACGCATCCATCGTGCACAGCGATTTCGCGATAGGAGCAAAATCGATGGGATTGCTGCTCTGTGACTGCTCTCTCCAGAAGAGGCCCATCGCCCACTTGTGCATTTCTGTTCCAGCATGATCCTTGAATGCGGACGTCCTCAAATTTCTTGAGCCGACGATGAAAGCCTCGCTGAAATTCTTGCTGCTTTTCACTTGCTCCTCGAATTTGACGCACACCGCGCATTTTAGTATTTCCAACAATTGCCGGTCGTCTTTCTGTCGCTCGTACCTCAGCCAAACGAAGATACTCAGTTCCTTGTCACTATCGGAAACCCACTTGTCACAAGTAGACGTTTTCACTCCGCGTGCTACTTTCTTCGCCGGAGCGGAGCTCTCACCGTCACCCTTCCTCTTTCCAAACATTTTGACAACGGCTCAACTCCCGTTCACCACTCGCAAAAGTACAGTACACAGATCTACGTGTACTGGACACCAACCGACAAGTGCAAGCGCGCTTCAGTCACGGACTCACGGTACGGCCGCGTACTAGTAGTAGTAGTAGTACATGTACGCGCCGCGCACTTGAAAACAAGCACACATCGCGAGCATGCACACAAATCACTGTACTTTTGAAGTAGTTCGATTTTTTCAAAAGTGCCCGGACAAAGTGTCCGGACCCAGTGTTTTTGGTCGGATTTCCTCCGGAAACGTCCGGAAAATGTCCGATGTCCGGACGTTATCATGCCCACTGTAGGCATGGCTGCTGAAACTGGAGTATGAGGACGGTACGCGCGGAAGTAGCGATGGTTGCACCAATATACGCGTTCACTCGGTAGCTTGACGTAGTAGTCGCCGTGGTCACCGTTAGCCACGACAACGCAGCGGGAAGACCACCATTTTGTCTTCGGGTGCTGAATGTCAACGTGTGTCCCGATAGACAAGTGGGGAAGTTCTCGGTGAGGCTAACTGGGAGACTGGTCTACTCGATCAACATCATCCATGTCAGATGCGGTGTCTTGCCAGTGGGAGTTGAACTGGCTCCATTGGGCGATAACAAAGGAGACAAGTGGACGACCATACAGTAACTGGGAAGGACCCTTTCCCGAAGTGCCATGAGTATTTCGCCACTCGAGAAGGTCACGCTGGAAAGCGTCGTCGGTGTCTAGATTACCGTCATCAGGTACTTTATTGCCTTCACGGCTGCTTCCGCATGTCCGGTCGACTGCGGGTAGTGAGAGGACGACTTGATATGACAGATTCCCCAGTGCTCG